ATAATTTCTTCAAAATAATATGGATCTCATGATATTTGCAAATTTCCCTCTATTTATAATAGGTTCAAATGAAAAAACAAATGAAAAACTTACATTCTAATATTTATAACTTATTCTGAAAAATTTCAATTTCCTTTTTGAAGAAATATATTTCAGCTTCTTGTTGAGCACTACTAGAAGTTATTGGTGATATTTCTCCATGTTGTTTTTGATTTCTGAACTCTGGACATTCCTGATGCAGAATCAACTGGAAGTTGAAGCCTTCATGCAATATTTTATAGATTCTGAAGAAGCAAAACTATCTTAAACAAACAATGTATTGATATTTCATGTCCAGTACTTACTTTACTATCAATGATATGATTTATGTTGTAAGGTACCAACCATTATTGAATCTACTCAAGTCTGCATTATGTACAATCTTTCATAATTTCCCAAGAAGCCAAAATATCTTGGAATGAAATATCTCTGCTCTGATGATATCACCATTTTGTGTTATCAATAACCTCCTGAAACAAATGATGTACCTATTAATATTTCATGTTCCAGTACCTACTATATCAATGATTTGATTTAGGTACCTACCTTTATTGAATATACTGAAAGTGCAAACATGCATACAATCTCACATAGATTTCGAAGAAGCCAAAATATCTTGGAATGAAACATCTTTGCTCTGATGACATCATCAATCTTGTGTTCTCAATAACTTCATCTGAAACAAATAATTAACCTATTAACATTTCATGTCCAGTACCTACTATATCAATGATTTGATTCAGGTACCTACCTTTATTGAATTCATACTGAATGTTCAAGCTTCCATACAATATTTTATAGATTCTGAAGAAGCGAAGATATCTTGGAATGAAACATGTTTGCTATGATGATATCATCAAGTTTGTGTTCTCAATAACCTCCTGAAACGATAAATAATGTATATGAATGTATCAATATTTCATGTCCAATACTATCAATGATTCTATTTAGTATTTACTCACCTTTGTTTCTTGCTACCTGAGAGAAATGTCATCAACAGAGATTATCATCCTTTTGTTATTGTTATCTTTTAATTCTGTGCAATAAGTTCTTCTCGCAATCATTTTGTGAAATAGAAATTTGATGAATGCATGATGGAGGTATTCAATGAATACTCTAATAATTTTGATATAATCATTAATATTATGATGTATCTTGAACAAATCATGACTATCATGAGACATAACCTCAATTCTAGTTCTTCTTTTTCTTTCTTGTGTCTTCGATGACACGTTATTTCATGGAATGTCATCTGAAGACGTCCGTAGGCACTAAATTCTTTACATCCTCAGGCTGTCACTGAAAGAACTCATTCAGGACAATTACAGCGCTAAATTTACGCCTGATGATGTTCTTAGGTTGTAGAAAATAGAACGTCCTCTCCAGGCGTTTGGCGACACATTGAGGATGACCTTAGGCGAGTGTGTGCTATCTGGGTGGGTCTATAGATTATGCTGAATTATGGTGAGTTAAGTTATGGTCTAGTTAACGGAAAGTAATTGTCGATTTAACATGAGTTATTGTCGTTAATGTTAACGTAATGTTAAGTTGATGAAAAGTTGAAATCAAGTTAATTTCAATTGAAAGTTGAAATAATGTCAATGTATTGGCAATTTAGTGATTAATGTGAAGTTAATGTCAATTTGATATTGAGTTGATGTTAATTTGATTTTAAGTTAATGTCAAGTTGATTTTGAGTTAATGTTGATTTAATCTTGACTTAATGTTGAATAATTATTGAGTTGATGTCAAGTTGATGTTAAGTCAATGTTAAGTTAATTTTATGTTGATCTTGAGTTGATGTTGAGTTAATGTTGAGTTAATGTCAAGTTCATATTAAGTTAATGTTAAGATAACGTTGTACTAATGATGTCATTTAAATATTGAAGTAAAATCAAATAATAATGATAATGATATCACCTTCAGGTGATCGAATATGATTAGAAACATGATCCCTACTTTGGTCTTATGAACAATCATGACATATAATATAAATATTTGTGGTCGTAGGAAAAATAGGGTACAATACTCGTTGGAAAGTGTATTTCCTGCGCTCGTTTCGTTTTCGCACTCGCCGCTCTGCGGCTCGTGCTAAACGTCCACTCGCGCGAAATATGTCACTTTCCACACTAGTTATGTAATATACTATTTCACAACAGAAAAATATCCGGAAAATATTCGCATATCATCAGTAAAAGCAAAAACGCAACAGATACAGGGTCAAAATAATCACTGCCCAGTTAACCACACATGTCTCAGCTCTATCACAAGAGAGATCAGTCAAAGAACTTCGTTTCATCACACCGTTCTGAAACATATGCAACTTGCATCTAAAATATAACATGCTACTGCTACAAATCAGTGTTTCATCACACGTTCTATCAATGTGATAAAATTGAGACGCCCTAGGCGTCATCACACAAGAGATCAATCGAAGAACTTTGTTTCATCACACGTTCTATCAACGTGATAAAATTGAGGCATCCCAGGCGTCATCACAAAGCAGATCAATTAAAGAACTTTGTTTCATCACACGTTCTATCAACGTGATAAAATTGAGGCATCTCAGGCGTCATCACAAAGGAGATCAATTAAAGAACTTTGTTTCATCACACGTTCTATCAACGTGATAAAATTGAGGCATCCCAGGCGTCATCACAAAGCAGATCAATTAAAGAACTTTGTTTCATCACACGTTTTATCAACGTGATAAAATTGAGGCATCCCAGGCGTCATCACAAAGCAGATCAATTGAAGACTATTGTTTCATCACACGTTCTATCAACGTGATAAAATTCAGGCATCTCAGACGTCATCACAAAGGAGATCAATCAAAGAACTTTGTTTCATCACACGTTCTATCAACGTGATAAAATTGAGGCATCCCAGGCGTCATCACAATATAGATCAATTAAAGAAATTTGTGGCATCACATTCCACAACGTTCTGAAATTGAACTGATGCAAATTGCATCCAAAATATAATTCTTGCTTGTATTGTAGGTTTAATAGTGATCATTTGAGTACGTGAAATTCACTGTGGTTGTGGTTAATGTGGTTTAACAATCACGGAGACGAAGAATGTGCTTTGTGTTTACTGGGCTTTCCTAACCTCACTTTTTCGTGGATTTTCAAGAAATTCGGTAACGAAACGAAATCAGCAGCATAAAAGGATACCTCGTTGTTTACAAAACAAAACTAATGTATTTGTTATTTCACTAAATGACCAGAACAACAATGATCTGCCATTCACCAAAATCACCAAGATGACTCTTATTGTTTCATTGGGACATTGAATCATTGAAATGAATTTCATTCCAAGTAAGCCACTTGTGTGATTCGAAGCCCTCTGCTGATGTAGTCATCAGTACCACCATATACTTCTATACGGTGTCAGTACCTACGAAGGTAAGTAAGTTTTAGATATGATTTGCCTACCCTTGCAGTTTGCACACCATCATGTCTAGGTGGAATTCATTTCAATTGTATACCAATTAAATTTATAATCATTGAATAATCATTCATAAATCATTGATGACCACATGAAATAGATATCTGCAAATAGATGATAATGTTTTGGTTCTTTATTCTAGCTAGGTTTGAGGCTATTTTTCAGTTTTTAAGTACTTGTGATTCTTTGTATCCAACAAGGAAATTTAACTCTGCAATTTTAGTGACAATATTTGTAAATGTATCTTGTGTTTTGTGTCATATTTTTATTATTAATATAGGTATGCTACTAGTTTGTAGTTTGAAATTGAATTTTTATTCCAGCTGGACTTCAAGAAAGACAAAAATATACTGAAGAGACCAGGTTTTGATTCCCGTGTAGGGAAGACCAGCTGGTTAGGCCAATCTGAGAGTTTTCACAATAATGACAGGTGAACACTTGTTTTGTATACTTTTATTTGCACATGAAATATCAGTTATTCTAGTTGTAGTCAGCTCAACTAAAGATTTTTATCTCGATTTTGATGGAAAAATGGTTGGAGAGAACAGTAAAAACAAAACAATGATCTCCCATGAAAATGAATGATAACTTCTCTATGATCACTTCCAAGAGATGGAATCTGCAGGTAAAAAGGAAATAAATGAAGGAGTTATGGAAGAAAACCATGCTGTGATCATCATGAAAACTGGGAACGCCCTGTATATTCTATTTCATATTTTTATTTTACATATATTTTGAGGTTTGTTTAGTAATTTGTCAATGGATTGGAATAAAGTTTACATTTTTACTCCTTTTGTTTCACTGTTTTGAATGCCACTACATGTGTTTAGGGGTATATTAATGGATTTTTTGATTTCAACATCTGAAAATCCAAGAATATATCCTAAACATTATGGTGTTGCATTCAAAACTGATTCAAATACTGGTGGAACCAGTATAAATTTATGGATGATTTGAGATGGAGCTAATGCAGAGCACAGATTTATCAGAAACGTCTCTGGCAAGCTCATGGAGAGAGCTATGTAGATACATAGTCATCACTGTGATCTCACAGGAGCATATCTGTTTCAAGTCTGATGTTGCATCACTGATATAAGTCTGTGATTTCATTTGAGGCGGACATTCATCTATGCTATATCTCTAATGGGAACATCTCTGTGATGAAACATGGAACATTTGAAATGCAGCAGGGATAAAGCTGCGACATGTTTTGGTTAACTGGGTGAATGATTGAATAGGTACCACTTTGGTTGAATAACACGAACCGATCAAATTAGCACTAGGTACTCTAGTGTAGTTCTTCACTGTATGTGAGGACGAATGACATCCAATGATGGTGTAAAAAAGATCAGTGTTAATTCTCACTTAAATAATCAGGTCTTCAGAGGACGCCCAAGTGTGTTGGCTGGTGTAAACTGGCTGTGAATATGCCCTCAAGCAATGAGCATCGAGTCACGGGACAGCCTATATGTCGTATAGACGCATCATTCCGGAACTTCCAATGTACTCACTTGAGAAAGTTCCTGGTAATGTGATTGTCGGTAATGGGCACTAAGTGCAGGCCGGTCTTGAACTGGTGGTGCATGTTGTGGGTCATCAGCAGCATCCAGCAGAAAATGCTCAGCCGCGCATACTGAAGAGCGAATGCCAGGCCGATGCATAGTTCCGAATCCTGCAAAAAAAGAAACTAGATAAGGATTTTCCAACGAGCAATTCATCTTCTTGTAAAACATGATATACAACAAATCTCTTGAAACTACTAAAACCGTATCTGGGTGAAAATGAAAAAATGTGCCGAAATCAAACTGCACAATCTGGAAATATTGGTGTGCATAAATGAATCTACAAAAGTTTCCAATCATAAACCCCATATATGTTTGTCAGTAAATAGGTATTGTTAGCGATCGAACACATAGTTTTCTCTTCTTAAGAGAATTTTAGGGACTACTGCATCAATAAATATCGGGTCGGTAACGTTCATTCCCACACATTGAGATATATGCAATGCAAATTAATGTCACTATATAGAAAACTAGGGTCCCTTGATGTAAACTGACGTATTTGTCATCTCTACAGGGTACGGACAGATCCTCGTCTCCTCTCACTCTAAAGTGTTTGTGAAACAGTTATATAGTTCCATCTTTATTCATTTCTGGGGATAAACACTAGATTTTTGGCATTTGTGGTTTTTAAGGTTATAGTGAGGTCACTGGCGTATCATACGTAATTTCCATATGCAATTCCTGATTCAACTATACCAAAATATAGATGAACAATCCTCTAGTTATGAGGGCGCCGTATACATTATGCTATTTCTCGGTAAGTTCGAGGCAATGCAATGTTCTCGCAATTTTTCTCAATTTATTGCGAGTCGTCGTACATTGAGATATTTCTGTCATATTTTCTTGTTCATATTCACTATTTCCAGGTTTTTTGAGCCTTCAATGTACTTTTTGAGGTTATTTGGTGTTTCAGGCCACATTATGGAGGAAATTAGTATTTTATCAAGATGCTACGATGAATATTACTAAAAATTTTACTAAACTTGCCTTGAAATTGCAGGAAAAATAGGACTGGTTCTATTACGAAACTTGCATGAAACTTGCCGTGAAATATCATAGACGCATGCGCATTGTTCGATCAAAATTGCATTGCATCGAACTTTAATAATTTTTGAGAGGTAGCTTAGGGAACATATGGATTTTACTGAAAGCTCAATATATTTCACCAAAAGAGACTGTTCTTAGGCTGTATACAAGGGTTGACTGAATTGACTGAATGAATTCTGATTTCAAACTGAGCAGTAGTTTATCTATGAGCTGAATGAGCTGAGCCTTATGATTGAGAAATGGTGAAAACCTCGATGTGAATATCCAAACTACCGAGCAAACTACTATACTCATGTATAATGTGTGCTAAATATATTTTCGGAAATACAACTCGAAGAATTTATTGAGTGACTAATATCAACAATGTATAAAACTTCGTCTAGGACGAAAAGTAGGCTGATAGAAAGTTATTTGTAAAATGTGCAGGGAAATGAAGAATAGAATATACTTCACCCCCATGTTATACATATGATTCTTAAAAGTCATTTTCAAATAATTTATTGATGAAAGTAACAAACAAGTAGGTATACGCAGTATAACTTATAGGCACGTTATTTGCACTCTTGCATCCTACATTTATTTTCTATTATTTGTGATAGAGTAGTAATTATATAAACTAATGGATCCGTTATCTTGCATTTTTCAATTTTGACGGAACAATCATTATCTCTTACCCCGAAAACAGCCAGATATCAATTTTGAATAGAATCGGATCTTCATCACAAAACTTGTTCGCCACATGATCTTCCTCAACAATTAAATACCCTGTACATACCTATTATCAAAATTCCAAATGATTTTCTGTAGCGCCCATGGATGTGACGTGACAGCAATGTCAGGGATGCCAGTAGACAAAACTAAAGTCTCTAGATCATTAAAAAAGAATGCAGCTATGATCTGTCCGTACCCTGTTAAGATGACTTTAATGTCAATTTCCATCAAGGGACCCTATAGAAAACAACTTCAAAATATGCGTGCAACATTTCATTTAGTTATAAGGTCGTTTTCTATGTCCTTGAATGATCGGTTTATGAAGAAGGAGAATACAAAACACACTAAATATCAACTAATTGAAAGTTTCGTCGATGTTTAGCTGAAACAATATTTTTTCCTGTGAGGGGAAAAAAGTGTTAAATTCCATCTCTGTTGACATGTTAGGAAATGTCACTTTTCATGAATTACATTTTTCCTACGGGGAAAAAGCGAGGAGTTTTTTCCCAGATAAATATCACATATATACACTGTTGATGGCTTCTGTTGTTGCAATGAAATATTGCCCTGATAACCTTAACACAACATGCATGCTCTGATTTTCAACGCCATGGAGGCGATTTAAATTTAATAGCTCGACATAAAAACTTTCTGTTTGACATCAACTCTTTCGAGCGGTTATTTCAACATCAAAACTCTCGGAATTAGCAATACTTAGAGACGTAGGCAGAGCCTTTAAACTTAAAACAACCACTTGCCGGTCTGGTATATATGTGAACTTTTGTAATATCTTCAACTTGGAAGATGTTTTCAGCCAGAACTTGAGAATGAATTATTGATCAGCTTTGAGAACATCAGGAAATCTCATATCTTGTGCCCATAATTCGTTTCCGACAAAACTTCAAGCAAGCGATCAAAATTTCGAATTTGAGATCTTCTATGGAAAGTAGAGCCGTTTGATAACATATATTGTCATATGTAATACCACTAGTCATACTATTTTTCCAGATCTTTCGAGCGGTAGTCGGGGAGTTTTGGGACATTGTCATGAGCGAAATCAAAGCTGCAAGCTTTAGTATGTCAATCGACGAATATTTTCAGGAAAAATAGTATCACGAGTTGAAGTCGTTGAGTATTCCATGATTGAGATAATGAACTAGCGGCTTGCGAGAGTTGCGCACACTGCATCCATCATTCTGGCTTCCAATATAATTGACGTTTTAAACGTCCAAAATTTCATCGCTGCAAACAAGGAAGGTTGGTCACGTGTCGATCAATTAGGCTTCTGCATTGAAGGAGCGATAGGTCCGATAAGATTCAGAAAACAAAAAATTATCGCTGTAATACAGAAGGGACCATGAAAATGGCCGATTCTGATTGAATCTAGAGACCAAGAGTGAAATAGTCACAATAAGATTATGAAAATTTTCAAATATTTCTGCTTCGCTTTCTTGGGTCGACCATTTTTTTACAAATACCATATAAATTCCATTAGTATGCCTTAGTGGATGTTTACAGTGTGCCATTAGAGAAATACATTAAATTTGAACCCTGAGATGATTCAAAGTACACAGGGTTTTTCACAATGAGCGTTGATTAGACGTTCTTGGCAAAACAAGTAACAAGAATCGGAAAATTTGATATGATCTACACGTCTGGAATATCTTGAATGATGCGGCGTTGCTGCTTCTACTAGAAAGTAGCAGCAACTTTGATTCTCCAAATAGAACACCCTGTTTTATATGGCATTCTCAGATTTCCCTGAGGAGCTGATTTCATTAATGCATCACACTTGGGGTCTAGGAATGATTACAGGGATATAGGGTGTTCGAAATCGGGATTTTTCAACTTTATGATTTCTTTGTGTCGAAACTATTCATTATTATTCAAAACGGCTTTCATGTCCCTATCTTTACTTCTGATTCACTGTCTACTGACATTCAAATAGAACAGAAACAGGGTGATCAGAATTCTGAATCTTGAACCACCCTGAATTTGTTCCAATTGAATGTCAGCAGTAGATAGTGACTCAAGAGTTGAGATGGGGAAGTGCGAATCGTTTTGACCAATAATGAATAGTTTCGACACACAAAAATCCTGAAGTTGAGGAATCTTGATTTCGAGCACCCTATATTTCTGTTATCATTCACGCTAGACCCCAAGTGTAAGAAACTAAAAATGCAATAAAATACAGGTTGTTCCATTTGAAATATCAAAGTTGCTGATACTTTCTAGTAGAAGTAGCAACGCCGCATCGTTCAAAATATTTTAGACATGTCACATTGTATATCATGTCAATTTATATAGATACCATAGATTTTCCCGATACATCTGTTGCTTAGTTCACCAGAAACGTCTGATTTGCGCTCATCGTGAAAAACCCTGTATACTATCGAATGATACCTCTCATTGAAGGAAATATTTATAGCGATCAGAATAAGAATTGGGACAAGACTCCCTTTCTACCCAAAATCATACTCATCAAGATCTTGTTGCTCTTGGAAGGTATATAAAAGAGGTAGTACCGCAGAGAATGACTCGACGTTGCCATAAATCATAAAAATGGTGAGATGGCCAATAAAGTGATAGGGACTAGAAAGTGGATGAGTTTCGATTGGATCTCATCAGTGATATTGAAGAATAGTACATTGTTTACCGGGTAGGAAAAGCTTAACATTCCTGGGCGACTGTGAAGATTGCTAGTCGAGGCGCGAGCCGAGACTTAGCAACACAGAGTCCAGGAATGTGGCTTTTCCTACGAGGTAAACATACTATTTTTCCGCAAATCGTTTAAAATTCGACAGGTATTGATTGATTAAAAAAAACGCGATAATTTTATTCCCAAATAAATGGTGCTTTGAAATTCCTGATAAAATTACTTGGGTTACTATGGAAACGTATTGAGGTTGAATTGTCAAACTTGACGCTTATAAATTTAATTGCTGGTGTTCTCGAAAGTAAAATGATAAGTGATGATGAAATTTCCATTCTTGGGACTCCTCTAGAGCTGGTTGAGGCAGTGAATACTGCCTCATTAGAATTATTGCCAAAGAAATCAAGAGAAAAGTACGAAAATGCATATAGACGTTTTATGGATTATCGCATGAGTAAAAATAGCAGTTCTTTCTCAGAAAATGTTGTAATGGCATACTTCCTAGACCTTTGTTTAAAGATGAAATCTTCAACATTATGGGCCAATTATTCAATGCTGAAGTCAACCCTTGCAATTGAACACAATGTAGATATATCTACATACTCAAAACTTCGTTCTTTATTGAAACGGCAAGCTCATCAAGGTTATAGGGCAAAGAAATCTAAGATTTTAACGAAGGAAGAAATTGAAAAATTGATCCAGGAAGCTCCAGATGAAGAAAATTTAATGATTAAGGTAATTTATAAGGTTTCAATTTCTATTTAGATTATACCTTTATTTATTTTTTAGGTGGCTGTAATATTTGGAATGGATGAGTTATTCCGAATGACTGTACACGATATAGAAGACCTAGAATCTAAGCTTTTAATCAGCATACCTGATTCGAAAACCAACAAACCAAGATCATTTGTAATTAATCAGATCTACTTGAATGTTTATCGAAAGTATGTTTCGTTAAGACCAGAAAATATGAACAGTGACCGATTTTTCTTCAAATATCAAAGCGGAAAGGGTTGTAGACAAGTGGTAGGAATTCATCAATTTAGAAAAATGCCCAAAATAGTTGCTACTTATTTGAACTTGGTGAATCCGACAGAATATACTGGTCACTGCTTTCGTCGGTCTTCTGCAACAATATTGGTTGACTCTGGTGCCGACATAACTAGTTTAAAGAGGCATGGCGGATGGAAGTCATCAAACGTTGCTGAAGGATATATCGAAGAATCGCTTAACAATAAGGTTGAGGTGGCAAATAAAATTTTCACAGTACAAAATATTCAACAAAATAACCCTACCACCCCGCATGTTGTCCAAAATGTTTCTCATAGTTCTGACAGTGTTCCTCCAATGTTCAATAATTGAACTAACTGTCAAATTACTGTAAATATAACAAATTGATCTTAAAAATGTATTCAGCAATGACTTGATGTTTTCAAAATATAAATTAATTCCTTATAAGCAGTGTGTTTTCAATCATTTATGTAGAACACTAACAACTGTACACGGAAATATCATTTCTTCACAGTAAGGAAATGACATTTCCTTACAGTAAGGATGTCTTGACTTTTTCTTCAAGAAATTTTGACAGGAATGTCAAAATTTCCTAGCGATTTGCGGAAAAAAATTTTATCAATCAGGTTTTTGATGATTGTGTTGTTAAAAGTCAAATAGAAAATAAATACCTAAATTTACCTTCGAAAGAACATGTTATTCCCAAAAAGTATGCTGGAATTTCTTTTAAAAATATCATGCTATCAGGGGAATATCCCAGCCATATATTCGATTTGGAAATCAGGTTTTCATGAGAATTCTTGTTCAATAATGATAAAAACTTACAGCTCAGGTATGTTGTAATATATGAAGTTCAACTAGAGGTAGGTAGGTTAACTAATGTTGAACAGAGATAATATAGTCCTCAATCGGAACACAATGGACCACTGGAAAATACAAAGTTCGAAAATAGACGAATAACAAAGCTGAACGTTTGAAAACTCAAATCGAAATGAACATAAACACCATTTCCGACATTCGCCGTTCTGGCGCTACGATCTTAATCTCAGTCGCCTATAACAATAACAATACCCACTTAACATGTCTAGGATCCGTTATAATCAGCTTCATACGGTTAATCAGTCGAGGGTTCCAAATTTGAGTTCAGCCTGATATATAGGCGCTCCTCCACATCAGACTCGAGTACTTTCCGAAATCCAATAAAGTTTCCGCCAACGTTGCGGAAAATACGGTCATAATCCGAACTCGAAGATGGCATGCCATACAAATTATATTGTCCGAGACAATCATCTGAACCTCATCCGGAAGCAGTTTATAATTGGTGTCGGCATCAAGGCTGCTGTGAAATGTGAACGTTCGAGATAAGTTAATGTACTCGAGGCGAGATGGAGATTGACAGCGGAAATTCAGGATAAGTGTTCCTCTGAGATGGAAAGTTTATGCGAGACAGGAGTGAATATGATAGATGATCATTAGTACACCATTTGTGCATTCCGATCCGAACTAGAGCTACTCATGTTACATTCACCCTCTGAATTGAAAATTGGTGTTCTCATTTTCAGCTTAAGACACAAAGAGCAATGTGCCCTTCGAAGCAAAGTTTTCGCAACTCTGCCGACACTACTCATATAGGAGATCTTCGTGGTGAATTCGTCGCTAGAATGACATAGGGGCGTTACTCCGAAAATGGTGGTTTTGAGTTAGGGCCACTATAATAATTACTCATGAGGACATATTCGTAAACTGACAAACTGGCGTATCTCTATTCGCGAGATTCACGAAGTGGGCGACATCTAGGTTACATAATACGAACTTCAAACTGGGGGAAAACAAACTGTTGACTATGGATAAAGTGCATAGACTACATTGCATTCAGCTTACTGTAGCTGTAGTCAAACTTGTCAATCACATAAAGTGTTGGCACTGTTGGTAGTGATGATGGTTGAATTGATTAATTTTTTTATATTATTACATTTTTATTAGTTCAGTGAACAGTGAACAGGTGAAGAATTGGAGATAGTTCGAACAATTCAAACTAATTATGACGAGCAAATCAATTGACATATAAAGGAACTGCTACAACATGTTCACAATACCCAGATTGTCCTACTTTGCAGGAACAAATACAAATCCATTGTTCTACAGGAGTTCCTCTGGACCCCAACTTCAATTTCACTTCATGTGAGGAAGATTTCATCGCCGAAGTTTGTAGACAAAGTGCAAACATGTGCCTTTTGTTGAAGTCTCCTGCCTCACACAAAATCACATGATTAGCACGGAGAACTGCTTCTCCTTCTACTAAGGTCGGCTTTTTCCATCTAAATAGAGCAAAATATCTGCCAAAAGAACATCTACAACAGGCGTTTTCGATCGAATATTGATTATTTATGTCAAGAAATTCAGAAACTCATCACTCTCATCAGTACACAGTACACAAGCTAATGGCACTAATGGAATTGAGTGAGGATTGAGTTTGTTTTCTCCCAGTTTTGACGTGGCTTTGACATGGAACGATGAAAACCGAGCGCCACCTGGTAACATTGATTCCCGCGAATCTATCACCGTCATAGTGGAATAGAAAATCAAAGCACAAGCGTACCTCTTATGAGGCAATAAATGAAAAGACAGAGTGACGAAAGTCGACCTACGCCTCTTTGTCATTTTGAATGAATATTCATGTCGGATATATGCCTGATTCCAGGTGACAGGTGAAGGATAGATCAGTTCCAAGACAAAGAGAATGGTACCAGCTAGGAATAATTTGAAGCCAAGAAGTGAGGGAGATACATATCGAAAACTCGGAGAATGAGTATAATGATAACGGATGCAGAGAGACAAGCGATTTTACTACAATTGTATGGTACTTCAAAGAAAGTATATTGTTAGATGCTTATTGTGAATGAGTGAAGTGGATTGATACAAGAAGTATTGAAAAACTATAGACACACTAAATATGGGTGTTCTGGAATAAAATCCTTTTGTTTTGCTGGTTCAATCAGGTCAGAGAGAAACATTTCTTGAGTAGGGATTTGAAGTTGGCATATGTGTTGGAGAAGGCTCAGCAAAAGTGGGGCAAGACTGTAGGTCAACTTTGGGAAACTCACAAGAGGCGCGGAAAGCAAGTTTTAGTTATACATATACCTTTCGCCTACTACCTAGTTATTCCATTTGGATCGATAATGGTTATACCAAATGACGTTTTTCCATGGAACAATTGATAAAAAAGTTTTTCATATAGTTGTGACCTAATTCAACACACTCTATATATACATACATACATGTAATCATCGCACAGTTCGTCCATACATAAATACTTTAAGTTCATGAAGTTTTCAAGCACTCTTTCGAAGGACATGCACTAATCTTCTTCCTCTGGTCAGCACTTCTCGAAGTCTCATAATATTCAGCAATACCCTGTGAGGATTTCATCTATTCTACTTGAATTCAATGCATCGGAAGTATGTTAGCTTGTTGAAACATTTCAATATCTCTGCAGATTCCCAATATCTAACTTCCTCATTCCAATTCATTTCAATGTAGTGCGAACCCAGAAAGTACAAAAATACCTTTCCAGGTCTTTCTGAGGCATTCACAATAATGTCCTCAGGACGTCGAGATCGAGCCTGAGTACTGTTTCGGAAGAATATTTCCTGAAATAAGCGAGTAACTTCCAATTGTCTCCGTGTCCTATCTTCAAAACCAATCATCTGCAGAATTGTAATCTCGTGTGAATTTTTGTAAAATGGATCTTTTTTTTTAATGCAGTTAACTAAATTTGAATCACTATAGCACTGACAAATACTGGCATGCAGTCAGATAACAATTCGCAATAAATTAATTCAAAAATTCGAAATAAGGAAGTTGGTATTGACTGCTGTTACATGACACGCCCTGTATAGACAGTTTTTGTTGAAAAGGATGCGCTTCTAAAACATCAATCGACGTGTCCGAGCGTCTATACGAGCAAGCTCGTTCAGATTTTTCACCGTTTGCAAATCATCTATACAAGAACCAATTAGGTGTATCAATCTGAGGTATGTGCTGTGATGATTGTTTGCCTAGCAGACATGCATAATTTAGATGGTTTCCACCAAACGAACTTGGCAACAATGGCAACATTTCCTAATATTGCTAATTTCCGACTGGAAGATACTTGGATACCTGCCAAGGCATTCGAAGCATAGTTAACTAGATGCAGTATATTTCGATTCCATAACATAATTTTTGCTTCTACATACAGTGTATTCGTTGGGTAGGGATCCTGAAATCTGCCGAAGCGAGAGATATACCAAAAATGCACTCTATGACCAAGTGGGGTCATCTTCAGTGATATACACTGCTCGCCAACAGCCATGGAACCACCCCAATTTCCGGAAAATGATATTAGGAGTCAACATAGGTTGAAAATCACTTCGGATTCGGAATCAAGACGCCCAATTCACTAACTGTTCATAGTTTTCCTAGAAAATTTTCAGTTCAGAAAAATTAAATTTTGTCACACTTCTCATGGAAGCACCCCCGTATCTCACGTAATTATTGGGATAGGGTTCTGAGATTTGCCGGAGGAAGGGAAAGGCCAGAGATAAAGTCAATTACGTAAAATACGCGGGTGCTTCCGTAAAAAGTACGACAAAATTTAATTCTTCAGAACTGAAAATGTTCCAGAAAAAATATGTATAGTGAGTAAATTGGGCGTCCTGATTCCGAATCTGAAGTGATTTTCGACCTATTTTGACTCCTAATATCATTTTCTGGAAATTGGGGTGGTTCAATGGCTGTTGGCGAGCAGTTTATATCACTGAAGATGGCCCCAATTGGTCATAGAGTGCATTTTTGATATATCTCTCGCTCCAGCAAATTTCAGGATCCTTACCCAATGATTACGTAAGATACAGGGGTGTTTCCATTTGAAGTGGGTCACACCGTATATATGAAACATATTTTTATTCTCCTACAGTTAGTTTTTTATTGAAGCACTAGGGCCAGTTTTGAATGAAATGAGGCTGGATGAATCGATGAACTCCAAATATCTACCTCATAACGTCATTTTCATCAACTGTGTTGAAATCATTCAGCAAGCAATTCATGTAAATTAATTATACGATGTGGTAGGGGTGACTCAAAGGTTGCTGGAATTCAAATAACTCTACCTAGTACCTACTATATTATTCGAAATCTTGCTGATAATGACTCAACCTCTAAACGTGTTTCTATCTTTGATCATTATCTTTTTCCTTCTATCCCAGGGTTCATTTTAATTAAGTGTTGAGCCAAGCGTTTTCTCAAAGAATCAATTCGCGGAGACTGCAAATCGCAATCGGGGTCTCTAATAATTGGAATTGTTGCGGGAAGTTCTATTTTCAGAAATATTTCAATCTCATTTCGGAAGAGAAGTTCATCACGAAGGGATTCTGACCCCGACTTCTTTGACAAGATTGTGTAATCATCCGTGTTCAATATCCATGTCTACTTTAACATATGTGTCCGCTTCCTGAAATCCAGGAAATTCAATTTCAGCAAAAAAATTTGAAGTTACTCGGCCGTTACTTGATGGAAATCCATATCGAATGTAAAAACTTCACAAACGATAAGATTTCCATAAAATTCTTCCATGTATTTTGAAGTTAGGCAAGCCAAAATTAGTTTAGTTCATGGTTTTTACATTTACTAATAGAAAATATGAACAAAAATTGAGGTAGCAATTATTCTCGCGAAATTGTTTAATTTCACTGCCTATCAAATTATATGCAATATGACAAACCGTTGTAAGTGTATTTTCTACTACCTTTCAACCGTATGTCACGATATCTGCATTAAAGCTAGGAGAAATAGTTATTTAAACAACTAGTGTATTAATGAGGGCGATTAATGATCGAGATATTTTAACGTGCGAGCAAAGCGAGCGCGTAAATGTTCGAGATAGTTGATCGCCTTTTAATATACAAGTTGGTTACAAAATTTTTCCGTCGACTATATTTCTCATTTCTCCTGCAATGAAGAAAACTTGGTTCGCGAATTCATCATTCATCCGGAAACTGCTAAGAATCACCCAGTAGCCTTGTTACTGACATTAGTGACATTTGACATTTGTCGAAATGATCAACATAGAAAATAAATTCCTTGTGTTAGAAAACAGAGATTAAAATCGTGTCAGAAACTTGGAAAGGCGAACCCGTTAACAGAGAATCTTTGATGAAATCCATATTTTCGATTTAAATGCAGATTCCGTAAGTTATAGCATAAACAATGAATGCACGCGGTGTATGTTTGGTTGCCTATAAAACAATCGTACATTAATAGACAAATCGTTCATTAATAGGGGTCATTAATGAACGATTTCATATACATTAAACTTAGTCGTTAATACGAGGTCGACGAAAAAAATATTTATATAAGTGCAAATCAAAACAGGATTTGTCGAATAAAATATTTGGCACGAACATTTACCCTTCCTTTGTTCCTTCCTTCTTTGAAATTCCCCAGGTTTTTCTCTGTTGAAAAGTTATAATCTTGTCAGATTTTTTTTTCTTTGCATTTCTTTCTTTCTTTACTGTTGTTGCTGAACTCACAACATAATTTGAACCCTCATTTTACTCACACTAATGAAACAAAGTGTATAGCTATGCTGTTAATTAGGTATATTGTACATAAGATATTAGGATAGTATGAATGGAAGTTCTTTTTTGTTTTTTCTTTGTTGTTTTATTTTTTTGTTTTGTATCACTGTTAGGTTGAAAAACAGAGGTTGTGATTCACATCATGCTCACCTGACACCTCGCCTATTCTTCATATATTATATTGTTTTATTCAGGGTAAGTGATTGTATTCACTCTATGTACTGGTTGTATTGAAGAATAAAGAAACATTATTATTATTATTATTATTATCATTAAATGATTCTTGAACATGAAAAAATGGATACCTACTTTTTGCAAGCAATATCGAAAATATATAACTCCAGGAGTAGCTGAAACCACCTTCAACACAATTTCTTCAAATATAACCCTATGCCTTGTGACCCTTCATTGGAAACCTGGCGGAAAGAGGAATTCAGCATATTAGTCAAATTCTAGTTTTTTATACGTTCAAAGGTTGCATAAAATTGAGATTCGATTTTGGAATTATTTTCTTGTTCAACGTATCAATCGCTCAAAATGTGTGTTGAACAATTGATTGCAATGTCTTCCTATAACTGCTATCTGCTGTTGTATTCCAGTGTTTTTATAGAACCGCAAAAATAAATTAAGTTTTTTGCTGTTTTCACAGTTTGAAACGAAGTGTTATGGCAAACTGGTGGAAATATCACTGTAACTAAAAGTCGAAATTTTGATGAAAATTTGTTGAAAATATATTAAACTTCGAAATTATATTTTGATTTTATTCGCGACTCCCAAACGTACTACAAACAGAAATATGATCAGTATGCTGAATTCCTCTTTCAACCAGCTTCCCAATGAGGGGTCGCAAGCCATAGGGTTGCATTTGAAAAAAACATGTTTGGGTAGATTCCTGCTACCCCTGAAGGGTTATATTCTCCATAT